CTGGAAACCTGTGCTATCTCTAAACATACTCTTGGCCAACAAACTGTTTTAATTCAATATGCTTCACCTTTTCGCTTTACTTGAAAGACTTGACTTTAGTTCCCTCTACAAACTGAACATAAAATAGCTACATTCACACTTTAATATGTCGAAGGATAAAATATGGAACTGAGCGGAAACCGGCCAATGTACTGACCAGCCCTTCTTCCTCATGCGCTGCCTCTGCTCTCTGGCCACCTCCATCTATATTCTGTTTAATGAAACTACCAGCCTTTTATGACTGAGAAGTTGCCTTTGTATCTGAAGTGCCACGGACCCTTCTCCCCACACATGCACATGAGCGGCTATCTAGGGAGGAACAAAACAGAGGAACAAAATTTCCCATTTTCTTTTTATACTTTTTGTCTTCCCTGAAAGAGAAGTCCTGGGGCTCGGGAGTGGATCTGAGTTTTTCCAGTAGGAATTATCTTCTTCCCTGTGTGTTTCTTCCAAGGCTCAGGGATCAGTAATTTACAGCCAAGCAGAGGCATGTTTCAAACCTATTTATAAACGCATGCAGAGAAGAAAGTTTAAAGACCTATGACAAAACTCTGCCTTGTTTTTTAACCTTGTGTTGATGTAAGCGGCGTTGCCAAGGTGTAAACAAGAGCAGATTTGGCTTTGTATAATTTATTTTTTAAAGGATTTCCTGTTAACTTCTGCCCTTTAAAAACAACCAACAACTAACCTTGCCCCACAACCTACCAATACAGAACAAAACACCCACAAATCCCTCCAAACTCGGGAATCTCATCACTTTAGGAAAGACCAGTTTCTAAGTGGCAGATGCAGAAAGGAAGAACAGGGAAGCTCAGATCTCAGCTCTGCATTAATTGGCAGCAAGACCAGAAGCTGTAAAAAAAGAGGCCTCGGACCAGACACAATAATCTGCTCCCTCAGTTCATTTCCCCGTGAAAGCTGAATGTTTTTTTCTCTTTGCAATGCTGTAGACAAGGAGACACATTTCAAACCAAGACGACTGACAGCAAGACAGAAAGCCAAACAATCAAAGAGACTGTGGGACTAATCCGGTGACTCAGCACAACCAAATGTAGATTCTTTTTCCTAGTGAAATGAGTTGCAATGAATAAAGGTTCCTGACTTTCAATCAGCAAGGGCTCTGTGCTTTGTTAATCCCCCAACCAACCCCACTCGATTCTTTCTCTTCCCGTATGATTTATTATTCCAAATGTAGAGTTTTGAGTGGCAAAGGTTAGGCGTGTTTTTAGGAGGAAAAAAAAGGATACAGACGCCATTAAGTTCAAGGGGGGACATGACTATGACATGAAGGTTTGGATCTCACACCGATAGGCACCAGGAAATTCCGTTTGAACTTTTATTTCCCTTCTGGCCCCATTCCTCGACACGTTTTATTTGCAAGGCCCGAAAGGCATCCCCAGCCCGGTTCTTGGCGCGGAGGGAGGACGGAAAGGGCCCCGCATGGGAGACCCATCTCCCCTTCGGTGGGAAGACAGGCCTGGAGCTGTCGTGGCGTGGCGTGGCGTGCCTCGCTCCGCTGCCGGGCAACCCTCGCACAG